CTGGCAGGGTAGGATGTGAGGCAGGATACGGGGTGGGATGTGGGGTGGGATGCAAGGCGGGATGCAGGGGCAGTACCTGTCGGGGCGGATGAGGCTCCTGGTAGCTGGGCAGGATCTTGAGGACGACACTGCCGCTGGCATGGCGCAGGCTGTCCTGCAGCACCCGTGGGTCGCTGCCCACCTCACGCCCATTCACCTCGCGGATCACATCCCCCACGTGTAGCAGCCCCTGCTGCGCCACCATCCCCCCGTGCAGGATGCGGGCGATCACCAGCTCTCCCCGCTCCACCCGGAAAGTCACCCCCTGAAGGGCACAGCCCTGCTTAGCCGCCAGCAGGGACTCACCACAGCACCCGGTGACACCCACCCAGCACCCACCGTTCACCCTGTAAGGAGCCCAGCACCCTGAAATACCCCCAGCACCCCATAATGTCCAGGGCACCCCATAATATCCCCAGCACCCCAAAATGCTCCCAGTCACCCCAGCAATGTCCTCAGCACCCTGAAATGCCCCCAAGAATCCCAAAATGTTCCCCGCTCCCCAAAGTGACCCTCAGCACTCTGAAATGCCTCTGGCACCCCAGCAATATCCCTATCACCCCACAATGCCTCCAAGAACCCCAAAATGTCCCCAAGCACCCCAGCAATGTCCCCAGCACTCTAAAATGCTCCCAATGAACCCCTCAGTACCCCAGTTGGCTGTAGTACCCTCAGCATAACCCCAAAATGTCCCAGTACCCCACAGTGCCCCCAGGACTTCCCAGCCAGGCTCACCAGGTTCTCCCCCGCTGCCTTGCGGATGCCCACCATGCGCACAGCATCAGGGGGAACAGGCTGGGACCCCAGGGGGGGCTCCAGGACAGGGCTGCTCGGGGGGGGGTCGTAGCTTTTGGCGGCCACCGAGTCATGGGTCTCCAGCAGTGACTGGGACACATGGGAGAGGGGTCACAGCTGTGTCCTACGCACCTGGCACACGTGCCATGCAACCCAGCACACACGTCATGCACACACGTCACACACACCCCTGGCATAGGAGGGGGGTCACACCTGTGTCACACCCCCCAGCACTCAGAGTGTCCCACACTCCTCGCACAGGAGGGGTCCACGTGTCTCCCACGTGTGTGTGACATGCATATGTGTCACACCCACCTGGCACGGGAGGGGGTGTCACACCTGTGTCCTACACACCTGGTGCGTGTTGTGTCACACCCCCCCAGCACACACGTTTGTCATGCACTCCTCAGCACACACACGTGCCATGCAGGACAGGAGAGGGATCCAGCATAGGAGGGGGATTCCACCTGTGTCACACCCCCAGCACACACTTGTCCCACGCCCCCCGGCACAGGAGTGTCCCACGCATGTCCTGCGCACCTGGAAGTGTGGTTCCCGCAGGATCCGGGCCAGCTCAGCCGCTGCTCCCTGCCCGTCGGGCCGCACCAGCCGCCCGATGTCCCGCAGGATCTCCTGCACCAGCGCCAGGTTGTCCCCGCGAACCGCCTCCAGCTTCCGCTCCTCCAGCCGCTCATGCGCCTGGGGGGCACCACGGGGGGTAGGGCCGGTAGGGGGGTTAGGGAACACCCGGAGGATCAGGGACCCCCAGGGAATCAGGGAGGTTGGGAAGTTCTGGAGGGGTTACGGACCCCCAGGGTCTCGGGAGCTTAGGTTACATACATACAGATGTGTACACACACAGATCCCTCCCTGCATGCACACGCGTGAGTGCACATACACACGTGCACACTCATGCATGCACACACAGGCAGGTGCCCATCCACACGCATGTACGAGCACACACACGTGCACGTGTACATATGCATGTGCAAACATGCACAGATACCTCCCTGCATGCACACACACATGTGCAAGCTCACACCCCTGCATGCACACACACTTGCCTGGATGGACATGCAGACACACGCATGCACACACATGTGCATCGTCCCCCACACAGCCCGAGGGTCCCGGGGCGGGGCACGGTGCCCCCCCGTGCCGCGGTACCTTGGCCAGGGAGCGGACGATGGGGCTCTCCATGATGCCCCGCAGGAAGATGAGGTCAAGGTCGGCCACCCCTGGGGATCCCGGGAGCCCCATCAGGTTGTCCAGGACCTGCTGCATGGCTGGGGGAGCACACGGTGCGGGGACAGAGGGGGGACATCCACGGGACACGGTGGGGACATGGGGGACACACACGGGGGGACACGGAGTGGAGGGGAGAGGGTGGTAACGTGGGTAAAAGTCAAGTGCAGCCAGGGATGCTCGTTCGTCCACCCCCCCATTCCTGTCCCGCTCACCCCAGGGCCCCTTCCCACTGTGGGCACAGTGCGGGGTCCTGCGGGAGCAGGGAAATCCCCGTTCCTCGTCCAACAGGAGGGACAAACGGATGTGCCCCCCCCAAAATAAAACGCCCCTCGGAGGGCAATGCAATTGGTGGGGGAGGGGGGTTGGAGTTTGATGCAGTTGGGCGGTGATGCAATTGGGGGGCAATGGAATGAGGGGTTGCGATGGGGGGATGATGCAGCGGGGGAGTGCGATGAGATGAGGGGGCGATGGAATGAGGGGGGGGGCGATGGAGGGGGCTGCCGCATCCGGGGCAGTGCGGATGGGAGCGGCTGCGCGATTGCGCTGCAATGGCGGGGGACCATCGCGATGCAACGGGGGGCGGGGAGGGCCATCCATCAGCCCCCCACACCTCTAGGGGGGCCACAGCATCACCCGGAGACCCTCCGCCATCCCCATCTCCCTGCACTCAACTCATCCCCCACCCCATCCCAACACCTCCATGCCCACGCCACTCCGCCCGACTGGCATCACCCCACCGCGTGGCATCACCCCTCGCTCGCCCCAGCCCGACCCCCATACCTGGTGGTCCCGGGGGTCGCGGACGAGGGCTGGGGCTGGCGGCGGGGACCCTCGGCCGGGGAGGCTCATGGCTGGGGGGCAGGGCTCCCCCGCCCCAGATCCGGGTACCGCCGCGACCCTCCCCCCGCAGCCCCCAGGCCCCGCGTGGGGCCCCCACTCGCGCCGGACCCGCTCCTCTCCCCACATCCCCCCCCCTTTGCACACGCATGTGCGCCGGGCACGGTCCGGCCGCCTTTATGCACGCGCGGGGCCGTGGGCGCCGGCGTACGCTCACACGCGCGGGCACGTCTCGTACACGCGTACCTCCCGCGTGTGCACCCGCGCGTGCGAGTGCCCCCCGTGCGCGCTCAAACGCCCGTGTGGGTCCCCGCTGCGCGCTCGTTCAGTGCACACGCGTGTGCGCGAACACGCGCTGACACGGGCGTCCCCCGTGCACGCCCACGCCCGCCCCCACGCGCGCTCACGCTCGCGTGCAAACCCCCGCGTGTCCCCCGCGCTCCCCCCAGCGCCTGCGGACCCCCCCGTACCCACTCACTCGTCCTTACACACTCGTGGCTTGCACACCCGCTCATGCGTGGGAGGCCCCCAACCCCCCGCAGCGCCCCCCGCGGCGTGGGGAGGGGGGGACAGCGGGGGCTCGGCCCCTTTAAGGGGGGGGTGGGGAGCGCGGATTTAAAGAGGCCGCACCACACTCTTGTGTACACTCACACGCATACGCACCTACGCGGACACGCACACGCAGGAGCCCACCCTCGCAGAGCCCGTCGCGCAGTGCCGACTCCTGCAGGAGCAAGTCCCCCTGCTCTTGGACACTCGTGTGCCAATCCTGGGCTTGCCCCGTGCACATGCGTGTGCCTACCCTGTGCCCACAGCCCCACGCACACGCACCCTGTGGTCCCACACGGCCTCCCCACCCGCAGCTGCCCCCGCACACGTGCACGGGAGGGGTTGTTGCCCCCGTGTGTCCGTGTGCAAGCGCCAGGTGGGGCACACTCACCCGTGACCGAGGCGGGGGTGGCCGCCGGCATCCCGGCAGAGCTGCGGGTACGGCGGGACACGAGTGACTGGCACCGACGGGACGGGGACGGGCACAGGGATGGCCGCGGAGGCGTGTCCCTAGTGCCAGCCCCTCCAGTGTCCCCAGCACAGCCAGTCTGTGTCTGCAGTGCCAGCACCTCCAGTCTCCCTAGTGCCACCAGTGTCACTAGTGCCAGCACCCCTGGTGTCCCCAGAACCCCCAGTGTCCCCAGCACGGTCTGCACCCTAGTCTCTTCAGTGCCCCAGTGCCCCCAGTGTCCCCAGCACCAGTGTCCCATGTTCCCAGCATGCCCAGTGCCACCAGTGCCCTGAGCCCCAGCACACTCAATGTCCTCAGGTCCAGCGTCCCATGTCCCCAGCACCCCCAGTGCCACCAAAATCCTCTTTGTCCTCAGCACCCACAATGTCCCCCCCGTGTCCTCAGCGATCCCAGTGCCAGCACCCCGATGTCCGCAGTGTCCCCAGCACCCTCAGTGTCCCCAGTGCCATCACGCCAAGTGTCCCCAGCGCTCACAGTGCCCCCGGAGTCCCGAGCCCCTCCCAGTACCCCCTCAAGTATCCCTCTGAGCAGGCAAAGGCAGGACAGGCGGTGGCTGCAGGGGTCTTTATTGCTGGGGGTCTGTCCCTGCCCCGCGGGGTCGGCTTTAGCGGGGGACGAGGGTATGGTGGGGGGCGGGGGCCGCATCCCCCCAGGCTCCTCTTCACCCACTTGGCCCCGGCAGAGTCTCTGCAATGAGAGGGAGGTCAGCACCCTGAGACCCTGTGGGGCCCCTCAGCCCTGTGTCCCCCACCCTGCAGGGCCCCCTCAGGTCCCCCTGGCCTTGTGTTCCCCACACCAGCATCCCATAGGGACCCCCAGATCCCCCCGGCCCCATGTCTCCCACCTCACACCCTTCAGGGACCCCCCAGATCCCCCTGGCCCCATGTCCCCCACCTTACACACTGCAGGGACCCCCTGAATCCCCCCAACCCTCTGCCCCCCACCCTAGGGTTCCTCCTTCTACCCCCAGGATGACCCCCATTGGGGAAACTGAGGCTCGGGTGGCACTGGGGGATGGTCCTCCTGCCTGCTGCCCCTCTGGCCCCCCTTACCTGGAGACTCAGCACCCTGCAGCACCTAAGGGCTCCTCACCCAGCACGTGCCCACCTGCCCGCTTCCCATACCTGGAATGGGAGGGGCACATTACAGGGGCAGCGGGGGGAGGGGAGGGGGTTGCGGTGGGGTGGGGGCACATGGGGAGCATGTCGCAATAGGGAGCATGTCTGACAGGAAGTGTATTGTGACGGGGAGGGTGTCACGATGGGGAGCATGTTGTGATGGGGCGTGTGTGGCAATGGGGAGTGTGCTAGGATAGGGAGCATGTCATGACAGGGACAATGTCGCAGTGGAGAGCCTATTGCAATGAGTAGCACATCGTGTTGCAATGGCAAGGCAAGTGTGTCGCAGAGGGAAGTGTGTCACGACGGGCAGCATGCCACAACACAGAGAGTGTTGCAGCGAGAAGGGTGATGCGATGGGGAGAATATCGCGACCGTGAGCATGTGTCGGGCAGGCCCTGCTCACCGGGGGCGTGTCACGACGTTCAGGTACTGCTGCAGGTCATTGTAGAAGCGCAGCAGGTCCTCGACGGGTGCATCGTCGCCAGGGTAGGTGGGCTGGGCCGGGGCTGCGGGGGTCCTCAGCGGCAGCAGCACCAGCACACAGGCCACCAGCAAGAATGGAGGCCAGCGGGGAGACATGGCTGGGGACAGGACAGCTGTGAGCACACGTGTGTGCATGGCACACGGATCACACACAGTTGGGGACAGGGCAGCTGTGCACACACTCCCATGTGCACACATCTGCACGCTTCATGTACTCGCTCATGTGTGCAAACATGTACACGCACACACACACGTGCATGAGTACACACACCCGCACATTCACATGCACACACACACATGCACACACACACGTGCACACACATGCACACACTCCCACGTACACACACCTGCACACTCCCATGCCCACTCCATGTCCCACCCCTGCACACTCACCCCCAAACTCCCAGCCTTGTACAAACGTGTGCACACCCATTTCACAGGCCCACACACACTCCAACCCCTTGCACACCCCACTGATCACACACCCTCCCTCTGCTCACACCCACAGCCCCACCTTTCTTTAGCCCTCTGGCCCCACTCACCTGCTTCCACGGGTAGGGGCACAGCGGGACAAAGGGACACAGCGGGATGAGGGGATGCAACTGACACCGTGGTTCCTTGTTGCCACAACTGCCACTGCTGTGCTGGCCCTTATATCCCTCTCTACGGGCCCCCCCCACGACGTCACCCTGCCACGCAGCACCTGTGTCCAGGTGCCCACTCGGCCGGGGGGGAAGGCTGGGGCCATCGTGGGGGGTGACAGGGACAGGTGGCCCCTGCACAGCACTGGTTAATGTTTGACCCTGGGCTGGGGGGGCTTCTGTGGGGGGACAGGATATGGACATGGGTGTCCAACGTCAGGGATGAAAAGAGGGACAGCTGTGGGGACAGAGGGATTAGAGGGGAACAGCCAGGGGGCTGGTGGAGTGCAAGGTTGGGAGGTGGTCAGAGGGGTGGACAGATGGATGGGAAGTGGGACAGGGAGACATTGGAGGGACAGACAGATGGACGGGGGTGTGGGAAGGCTGAGGGAGTGACGGGGTCAATGTTGAGGTGAGGGGTGGATAGAAGGACAGAGGAAAAAAGGGACAGAGGGACAGAGACATCGGTGCGAGGGAGATACAGCCATCCCCCACTGTGGCCATGCCTGAGGACGTGACTGTCCCCCTGCTCCCACCATGGCCAGGGGGAGGGTCAGTGGGATGGGGGACCCCCAGGCCTGGCACAGCCCCAATGGCTGCAGTCCCTGTGCGGGGGGACGCCCTGGTGGGTGTCAGCACCCACTGCCCTTGCACCCCACACCCAGTAAACTCCAGTACCCCCATACACACCAACATCACTGCTAGTGCACCCCACATCCAGTTCCTCCTACAACCAGTGCACCCCTGCACCCACTGCTGGCGCACCCCACACCTAGTGCACCCCATACCTCCACCCCAGCACCCACCACTAGTGTCCCCCTGTGGCCTACGAGCCCAAAACCATCATGCCAAGCACATCCCCAACCCCATGCAGCTCCACACCCAGCCTCAGGGAACCCCATTTCCCGTGCACCCCAACACCCATCGACAGTGTATCTCCCAGAACTGCCCCCCGATACCCCCACACCCAGTGCACGCCAGTTTCTAACCCCAGTGTGCCCCAGCATACCCCACTTCGACCTCTCCCTCCCCACCCCCCTCCCAAAAGCCCCCCACTCCTCACCCCCTTTCCCCTTCCATTCCTTCATTTACTTCCCCCTTTCAACCCTCACCCCCCATCTCTCCCCACCCTCCACCCCCTGTCCCTGCACCCAAAGATGTCCTGTCCCTTATTCCTTCCACCCAGCCTCACCTCCTCCATCCCTCCTGCACTCCTCCATCCTTCCTGCACTCCTCCATCCCTCCTGCATCCTCCCTGAATCCCTCCATACCCCCTGCACCCCTCAATTCCTCCCACGTCCTTCCTGTACCCCTCTATTCCTCCATCTCCTCTCCATCCTCCCCTGCAACCCTCCATCCCACCTGTGCACACCCCTCCATCCCCTCTCCACCCCACCTTCAACCCCCCCACCTCGTCGTCCCCCTTGCAACCCTACATCCTTCCTGCACTTCTCCATTCCCTCCACATCCCCTCTGCACCCTTTTATCCTTCTCTGCACTCCTCCATCCCTCTTGCAGCCCTATATTTCCCCCGCGCCCCCCCACACACATAGCTCAGACCCGGCGGTGCCCACGATCGTGTCTTTATTGCCGCTGCGGGGGCGTGCAGGGACTACGCGGGACGCCCCCGACAGCGATGGGGAGGGGACGGGGTCGGGGCCGCCCCCGACAGTGGGACGCCCCCGGGTCGGGATCTGGAAATCCCCGACCCTCCAGAGGGGAGTCCCGCACTTGCCCTCGGTCCCCTGGGGAGATCTGGAGAAATGTGGAGGATTTGGGGGATAGGAGAACTGGGAGGAAGAAAGACGGTCACCACGTGGAGTCGTCGTCGTACCTGCGGGGAAGACCTGGTGTGAGAAAAGGGGAAACGAGACCCCCAAATCCCCCTGGGACTCCAAACAACCCCGGGACCCCCACCCTGGGGTGCGGGGGACGGTGCAGCCCCCGTCCCTGTGCGCGGGGCGGTGGGGACAGGGACGGGAACACTCACCGTGGCCTGTCACTGACGGCCCCCACGAGCAGCTCCGTCACCGCGACGTCTGGGCTGGCGCGTTTGCCATACCTGCGGGACACGGGACACACGCAACGGGGACTCCACGGGGGCGTGCACGAGTATGCAAGGGAGGAACCGCCGGAGGCCCCGGGCGTGCACAAGGACCGGCACGAGCGTGAAAATGGGGATTCGCGCGTGAAAAGGGGCTCGCACGAGCAGCGCGGGGCTCTCCCACGCACGTTTTTGGTCACTCACGCTCACCTCTGCCGCGTGACCAGGTTGATGTAGTGGCGAAGTGCCGAGAAGTACCGGGCCATCTCCTCGGGGGACGCGTCGTCCCCGGGGCTCTCGGGCTTGGCGGGGTACGCGGCCGCCAGCGCGACCAAGCACAACAGGGCACAGAGCGACACGGCCACCAGCGCGCGCCACGGCCGCGGGGACAGCACCATCTGCGGGAACACGCGGGAGAGGGGCGCCTATGGCTATGTGTGGGTCACCCCCATCGCCCCTGGCTACTCCTATCACCCCCGGGGACCCCCATCACCGTCAGCTCCCCACATTGCACCCCAGGGACCCCCATCACCCCCAGGGACCCCCATCACCACTGGGTACCCCCAACACGGCTCTGTCCCCCACCAAACCCCCATCCCCCCAAGGTATCTCATCCCCAAGGACCCCAACCCTTGTGGGAATGTCACACCCACAGGATGCCCCCCTGTCCCCCAAGGGGATGTGTCCCTCTGCCACCTGGGATCCCAGTCCCACTCAAGAGACAGCTTCCCTCCAGGGTCCCCCCCCACCATGCCCCATGGGACACCTCTCTCCCAGAGACGCCCACAGTGTCTCAAAGGGGTTGTGCCACCCCAAAGGACCCCAGAGACCCACATCCATCCTAAGGGGCACCTCCCCACAAGGGATGCCACATGTCCCCAAGGGAGGGGAGTGATTCTCCCTCCCCGGGGTGCCGACCTCTCCTCAGGGACCCCATGGAACCCCAGTCCCATCCCCACACTCACAATGGTGGAGGCGGAGGTGACAGGCAGGGTCTGGTAGTGGGATGACAGCGCCAGGGACACAGCGGCTCCCAGACCTGCCTGGGGTTTTTATAGCCTGGGGGGGGGGCTCCTGGCTCCTCCCTCATGCATGACAGACCCACGGGCACTCAGGACCCCAGTGATCCCCCTGCCACCACTCCTGGCCAGGGGACATGTGCTAGCACCTTGTCACTGTCCCTTGGCAGAGCCCCCCAGCCTGGGACACTGAGGGGCTGGGGAGGACAGAGCATGGGGGGCATGGATGGGACACGGGCAGCTACAGAACACAGATGGGAAAATGCCAGACCGGCACAGGACATGGACACAGATGTGACATGTCACCAGGGCACACAGGTACAGGTGTGACATGTAGCCGGGGCACACTCGCACAGGAGTGACAAGCAGCCATGGCACAAGGACACAGGACATGGACACAGATGTGAGACACAACCATGGTGCATGGACATGGGTGTGACATGCAGCCATGGCACACGGGCACAGAAGTGACATGCAGCCATGGCACAAGGACACACATGTCACATGCAGCCATGGCACAGATGTGACATACAACCTTGGCAAATGGGCATGGGACATGGACATGGATATGACATGTAGCCAGGGCTCATGAATATATCACAAGGACACAGAAGTGACAGGCATCCATGGCATAGGGACACACCTGTGACATGCAGCCATGGCACATGGGCATGGGACATGGACACAGATGTTACAAAACCATGGCACAGGACATGAATACAGAGGTGACATGCAAGCATGGCACATGAACACAGGCAGGACAGGCAGGCATGGTACATGAATACGGCACATGGACACAGGTGTGACATACAGCCATGGCCTGTGGGCACAGAAGTGACACAGCCATGGCACAGGGACACAAATATCACACACAGCCATGGCACACACATATGTCCACAAGACAGCCTCAGGATGTGACAGTGACACAGGGACATCAGCCACACCGAGGGACACAAACACGGCACAGCCATGACGCAGCACATGGGACATGACCCACGGCCCTGGCTAAAGCCACCCATGGGGAACAGAGCAGAGGACAGTCCCAGCCCAAAGCCGTGGCTGTCTCAGTTTCCCCAGACGGGGCACGAAGTCCCTGTCACGGCAGTCCTCGTCACCACAGCCGCTGTCACCACAGCCTCTGCCACCGCCATTGATCGTTGTCACCGTCCCCAGGACAGATGAGGTGCCCTTTCCAGCCCCCCGCACCAGGGACACTAATCCGGTATGGATTTGCCATTAAGGAGCAATGATCGGCTCCCAGGAAAACTGAGGCACGGAAGGATCCATCAGGGACGTGCCCACCAGGCAGGGGCCACCAAAGCCCACCCTGTGGGTGCTGGGATGGGGAGAGGTGGCAGAAAGGGGTCCCCAAAAAGCTGGGATGGTCCCAGC